CCTTCCCCTTCTTCCCCTTCCCCTTCCCATTCCCTTCATTTTCAGACAAGGGTCTTGCTCTGTTGCCCAGGCTGGAGTGCAGTGGCACAATCTCGGCTCACTGCAACCTCCGCCTCCTGGGCTCAAGTGATCCTGCCTCAGCCTCCCGAGTAGCTGGGCCTATAGCCTCGCACCACCACACCCAGCTAATTTTTTTTTTTTTGTATTTTTAGTAGATATGGGGTTTCGCCATATTGGTCAGGCTGCTCTTGAACACTTGACCTAGTGACCTGCCGCCTCACCTCCCAAAGTGCTGGGATTACAGGCATGAGCCACCCCACCCGGCCACTAGGCTGGAATTTCTGGTCTGCACCAGGGTTTGTCCCCAGCAAATCCTGGGGTCCACACCAACATGAGGATGGAAGGGTGGAACTGGGTAACCCCACGGCTGCCCCCTGGGGCCGTGCACAGCACGCATCATCCCAGGACACGTGGCCTGTCACGGCTTTGACAGCATTTATTGTGTCTTCCCCGAGTCCTCTCTGCTTGGGGTCAGCTCGTCCCAGTTTTTTTCCCTATTCTTGGAGGAATCTGGGTCTGTCCCCTGCCATCCTGGTTGCTGTTCCCGAAGGCCCTGGTGAGCGGGGGCTGCGTCAGGAGCAGACCATTTCCTCACCCCTAGTGAGGAGCCTCCCCTGTCACCCGCGTTGCTTCCCCCGGAGGAGGCCGGATGGCCATTCTCTCGGTGCAGGACCGGAGCGTCATCTAATCCCAAACTCGTTCAGCGAGCACAGGGGTTCCCAGGACAGCCTAGAACTGCAGAATTCTCCCCACTTCTGAAGCAGAAAGTTATTTTGTGAGGAGGAAAAAACAAACTGGGGTATTTTCCCTGTGAATTTATTTTGTAATTTTTGCATAGCTTGCCAAGAAGCGTCAGAGTGCAATGGGACAGCGCCGCACACTGCCACACACGGCCCGGGACCCTCCTTCACAGGGCTGTAGGGCCCAGTGGGACAGCGCTTGCCACGGGGAGAAACACGTCCTCCATGCTTCTAATGTGTCCCCTTGCTTAGGTATATTTGGAACAATTATGGGCAGGGCCCTGGCCGGTAAACTGTGAATTGCAATTTGTGGCTGAGCAGTTAAGAAACGTTAACAATGAGCCTGGCGCGGTGGCGCACGCCTGTAATCACAGCACTTCGGGAGCCCAAGGTGGGCAGATCACGAGGTGAGGAGATTGAGACCATCCTGGCCAACATGGTGAAACCTCATCTCTACTAAAATATAAAAACAGGCCGGGCGCGGTGGCTCAAACCTGTAATCCCAGCACTTTGGGAGGCCGAGGCAGGTGGATCACGAGGTCAAGAGATCGAGACCATCCTGGTCAACATGGTGAAACCCCGTCTCTACTAAAAATACAAAAAATTAGCTGGGCATGGTGGTGCGTGCCTGTAGTCCCAGCTACTCGGGAGGCTGAGGCAGGAGAATCGCTTGAACCTGGGAGGCGGAGGTTGCAGTGAGCTGAGGTCCCGCCACTGCATTCCAGTCTGGTGACAGAGCGAGACTTCACCTTAAAAAGACAAACGTAACAATGACGATAGGCCCTGTGTGGCCACAGCCCTTGTCATCCCCAAGGCCAAAGAGAGAGAATCCTGCCAGGGAGGCAGGTCAGAGTTGTTTGCCTCCATCTCTGTGCGGGTCAGAGGGGAACTGATGCCAAGACGGGCTCCACCCAGGCAGTGGGCAGGCAGGCAGGGCAGCGGCTTCTGTGGCTGAAGTGGGCCGGGGCTGCAGCTGTTCCTGCCGGGCTTCCAAGGTGGGGGACACAGGCTGCCCCTGGGAAGGAACTTCATGTCATGGAGCTTTCAGAGTAGAAGGCAGCTTAATGAATATTTGTCCTGACGCCTTCATCTTGCAGGTAGACACTGAGGCCCAGAAAGGTCAACGGAGCTAACCAGGAAACGGCAAAGTAGGTTCCTGGGGGTTGACTGGTCTTGCCCCTGAATCCTGGTGCTCAGGGGATAAGAGACAATTTGGAAAAGCAGGGAGACTAAAGGATGGTGTTTGGCGTGGCTTTGGTTGACTTTGAGAGCCTTTGGACGAGAGGCGTGCTCCCTAAGCACTCCGGCCTTCCCTCGGTCTGCTTGCTGGGCTGACTTATCAATGTGGGGACTCAGGGTCACCCCGAGTTCTGCCTTCTGGGGCAGCCAGCCTGTGTTGGCGCCGTTGGATGGAGTCAAGCTCAGTTTTGAGGACAGAGGGGCTCTCGTGAGCTGATGGGGGTTGCAGGAGGGGAGAGCTGGGCTGGTGGGAACAGGAAGGAGAAGAGGAGCCATTGGGAAGGCGGGCAGCAAGTGGGGATTCCCTTTATCTATAAAGGTGGAGCCCATTATCCCATTATCATTTATGAAATGAGGAAAGCCTTGTGAGGACTGATAGTAGGGACGTTCTGGGTGGGAAGCTGAGCTCCTGCCTCGTGGGGCACACATACACACATGCACACACATACATGTGTGCACATACACATGCACACACATGCACACACACACACACCCCCCTCCCTGAGGTTGGCCTCTGATCACATGGGAAGAAGCTGCTTGAAGTGTGGGGGGCCCACGTTCTGAGGGCCAGCACAGGCCAGAAGCAGGCAGGACCAGCTTCTTGGGTCACATGCTTGCCAAGGTCAAAGGTGGGAGGTGATGCAGTGAACACCTGACTCTGGAATCCAGTGACCCCTCTTACACCTGGCCAACTTGGGACATGGACCGGACACACCTTGGCTTCAGGCCACCAGCCCCCAGAACTCTATGGCATGGACAGCGTGCTTGTTAGCCTTTTATGGCCAGTTACCTTCACCGCCACAGACACAGGACTAACTGTGAGTGTGGCTGTGGTAGTGGCTCTCCAGGTCCTCAGTCCCAGCCCACAGCTGACATTTGGAAGAAAAGAACATCCCAATGCAGCCATAGAGGCCCTGCCCTTGTCTGCACTGTCTTGGAGACTCAGCTTCAAATCCAGATCCAACCCCCACCCCTCCCCCCGCCGCCCGACCCACAGAGCCGCCTTGTGCATCTTCGGGGAACCCTGCAGAAAGGAGAACTCCTGCGTCAGGATTTCAGGGACCCTGACTGTCCTGTCACCCTGCTCTGCTGAGTGAGGATGCTCAGCATGTGAAAACAGATGGAAGCAGCTGACTGATGACTGCTGCCTGGGCAGGGCCTGGGGTTTGCATAATTTCCCCAATATATCAGGAAGTGGGCAGCGCAGAGGGACCAGGAGAGCAAGTATCAAATGCGTCAGGGTTCTTAACCTTTTCGAATATGAAAGTTCCTTTTATGGTGAAGGAAGCATCTGTGGTCACAGTTTAGTAGTTGTGCATTTAGAATTATGGTTTGGGAACATATATAAGAACTAATAATACCCACAGCAGGGGTTGCAGCCAATCACGTGGCACTTTTTAGGTGGCAGGCATTTGTCTAAGGGCTCTACATGTCTATTAACTCACCAAATGCTTGCAGAAACCTGGTGGATGGTGTTATTAGTCTCATTTTACAGATGAGGTACTTGAGGCACAGAGAGGTCAGGTGACTTTTCCAAGGCCGCACAGCTGACAATTGGTGGAGCCAGGATTCAAGCCCAGGTAAGCCAGCTCCAGATTCCACAATCTTAACTATCCTTCTGTGTCCCTCTGTCAGAGAGGGCTACATAGCTGTGGCCTGTTATATAGGAGTAGTGTTGTCTCTCAGTATACGTGGGTGACTGGTTCCAGGACTCCCAAATATGCCCAGATCCCTGCATACTCATATCCCTGTAGAACCTGCATGTTCAAAGAGTTGGTCCTCCTTATGCTCAGGTTTTACATCCTGAGAACATTGTAGTTTTGATTCCCATTCAGTTGAAAAAAATCCATGTATAGGTGGACCCATGCAGTTCAAAGGCGGAGCTCAAGGGTCAGCTGTGCTGTGCCTTGGTGAAGATGCGTGAACTAGAACTGTGTGTATCAACATAGATTCATTCCAAACATGCAACCGTGAGGAAATAAACAAGCTGCAGAAGGCTGTGAAAGGCATTAATGCGTTCAGATAAAGTGCAAAACCACGCAGGACAGTACTCTGTATCATTCATGAATCCAGGCATACCCAGTGAAAGCAGAAGCGTGCTTGGGCATAAAAACACCAGATTCAGTGATTACTTCCCTGGGAGCGAATGGCACCAGGAGGGGTCGGCTGGGAGCTTCAGCTCTGTCATTTTTATTAAACCACAGCTGGGGCCAGACACGGTGGCTCATGCCTGTAATCCCAGCACTTTGGGAGGTGAAGGTGGGCGGATCACCTGAGGTCAGGAGTTTGAGACTAGCCTGACCAACATGGTGAAACCCTATCTCTACTAAAAACACAAAAATTAGCTGGGTATGGTGGCAGGCGCCTGTAATCCCAGGTACTCGGGAAGCTAAGGCACGTGAATTGCTTGAACTTGGGAGGCGGAGGTTGCAGCGAGCTGGGATGGTGCCACTGCACTCCCGACAAGAGTGAAACTTAGTCTCAAAAACAGAAAACAAAACATAGCTGGAATAACTGTGGCAAAGTGTTAAGGATGGAGGATTTGCTGTTATTTCTTTGTATATACAGAAACTATTTTATAATAAAAAGTTTCAACCTGCCATGCATTTGTAACATTTTCAGATGAATTTGCATACATAGGTTTTAAACTGTGCATGTGACAGAGACTAGTTTCTTTAGTCTAGAGTCTGTGCTTGGTGCACTCAGGGTTTCAGACCCCCTCAGCTATTGCGAGGGTCTCCTCAGGGGTCTCAGCCCATAGGCAGTTAGGATCAGGATGCACACCTTTTTTTTTTTTTTTGAGATGGAGTTTTGCTCTTGTTGCCCAGGCTGGAGTGCAGTGGCGTGATCTCGGCTCACCGCAACCTCTGCCTCCTGGGTTCAAGTGATTCTCCTGCCTCAGCCTCCTGAGTAGCTGGGATCACAGGCATGCACCACCAGGCCCGGCTAATTTTGTATTTTTAGTAGAGACAGGGTTTCTCCATGTTGGTCAGGCTGGTCTTGAACTCCCGACTTCAAGTGATTTGCCTGCCTCAGCCTCCCAAAGCGCTAGGATTCTACCTTTTAAGGATAGAGGGATTATGAGGTGTCCAGAAGTGGAGACACTAGGACATGGGTCATGGTTTAGGGGAGAGGATATAAAGTAAGATGGCTGCACAGAGATTCTGAATCAAGTGCAGGTTAGAAGCATAGTGCTTCATTGTCTCATTGCACAGGCACTGCCTCCAGGGACGTTGGAGGTTACTTCTGTTGAGTTTTGCTGACTGCGCAGGAGACATTGTCATACCCATAAAGAATAGCAGGGGACATTTTTGCCAGAAGCAGCACCACTATGACATTAGTAAAAATGATTGTAACCCAGACACTCAGGAGGCTGAGGTGGGAGGATCACTTGAGTCCAGGTGTTCAAGACCAGCCTGGGCAACATAAGGAGGTACTGTATCTCTAAAAAATAAAATAAATTAGCCAGGCATATGGCCTGCACCTGTACATTGTCTCAGCTACTCAGGAGGTTAGGGCAGGAGGATCTCTTGAACCCGGGAGGATGGAGGCTGCAGTGAGCTATGATCGAACCACTGCACTCCAGCCTGGGCAACAGAGCAAGACCCTGTCTCTTTAAGAAAAAATAAAGACTGGGCTTGATAGCTCACGCCCGTAATCCCAGCACTTTGGGAGACTGAGGTGGGTGGATCATGAGGTCAGGGGCTCAAGACCAGCCTGGCCAAGATATCGAAACCCCGTCTCTACTAAAAATACAAAAATTTGCCAGGTGTAGCGGCAGGTGCCTGTAGTCCCAGCTACACAGGAAGCTGAGGCAGGAAAATCACTTGAACCTGGGGGATGGGGGTTGCAGGGAGCTGAGATTGCGCCACTGCACTCCAGCCTGGGTGACAGAGTGAGACACCGTCTCAAAAAAAAAAAAAAAAAATTTTAAGACAGCAAATGTCAACTTGAGTTAGTAGTTGAAAAAACAGGCAAGCAGGAGTTCAAAGGGTGGGAACAAATCAGTGACGCGTGAACAGACCGATTTATGAGGGCAGGGGGCAGAGTCCAGCAGCTGCTCAAAGGCCTTTCTGTGTCTGTCGACACAAGTACGTCACAAGCAGAGCCCTGGGCTCTCCTGTGTCGTCTGAAAGGATAGGGTGAAGGCCTGGGTTACCGTGGGGGCACGAGGTGCCCACAGGTGGGGGATGAGGAGGCCTTGGCCCATTGTGGGAGTGGGCAGTGCGGGAGACCCCTGAGGGTTCTCGAGCATTCCCTGGTGCCTCACAGTGGCCAGCTGGGGGCATCTTCCAGCTGCGGCCCAGCCTTCAACAGTCAAAAACCAGTATTACCCACAGCGCCATCCCCAGATCCATCCTAGGTTCTGCTGAGGTTCTAAGTGGGACTTTCAAAAGCAGAAGAAATGACGCTGAAACTGAAAGGAGTTTGACATTAGGGAGAAATGCTTTATTTCACCAGGTGACAAACTGGTGAAATAAATTTCTAATGAAAGTTGCTGCAATTTCTTCTTTCTCCTCCAGGCCTGATTCTGCACCCCTCCTCTGTCCTCCATCCTTTTTGCCACAGTGGGGGAAGCCCTGAAAAACCCTGGTGTTTTCAGAGGCTGTGGGGAGCCCAAGGAAGGGGAGGGAAAAGACATGGGACTGTCATTTACCAACTGTTCAGTTCCTGATCGGGTTCCCCAAGAAGCAGCTGGGACTCTCCAGCCTGACCTCATCTCCCTGGGGTCCCTGTCTCAAGGCAGATGGCACCTCCATGGCTGTCCCTGCCACACTCCCTCAGACCCCTCCCTGCTCCCCTGGTTTCTCGGCCCTCCCTCCTTCACTGCCTCATGCCTGTCCCTGTCTGCCCTTCTAGGGACCCAGGCTCCTGGTGTCTGCCCACAAACATGCTCAGGTCTCCCGATCTTAAAACAAGGTCTGGGCCAGGCGCAGTGGCTCTTGCCTGTAATCCCAGCAATTTGAGGCCAAGGCAGGCAGATCACCTGAGGTTGGGAGTTTGAGACCAGCCTGACCAACATGGCAAAACCCTGTCTGCACTAAAAATACAAAATTAGCCAGACATGATGGCACATGCCTGTAATCCCAGCTACTCAGGAGGCTGAGGCAGGAGAATCACTTGAACCCAGGAGGCAGAAGTTGTGGTGAGCTGAGATTACACCATTGTACTCCTGCCTGGGCAACAGAGCAAAATTCCATTTCAAAAAAAAAAAAAAAACAAGGTCTGGGCTCCCCTGAATAACCTCTCTCTTGCATTTCACAAACGTGCCTTTGGAGGGTAGTTTATGCTCTTGAATTGACTCACCGCTCCCACTTCCTCCTGCTGCCGTCCAGGGCCTGCCCGTTCCTCTCCAGCCTCACTGTCAGTCAAGCCCACCCTTGGCCAGGCCCTGTGGCAGCCCCAAGTGAACTGTCCAGCCTCTCAGCCACATTGGACACCCTGACTGTCCCCTGCCCTGGGCCGCTCTCCCCTGTAATCTTTGAGGCCTTGACTACGGAGGGGACTGCTCCTTGACCTCCTCCCTACTCTTAGTTTTTTTCGGTACATCATGGTGTTTCGAGGTGGAGTCTTGCACTGTTCTGTTGCCAGTCTGGAATGCAGTGGCGTGATATCGGCTCACTGCAGTCTCTGCCTTCCCTCCCTCCCTCCTTCCTTCCTTTCTTTCTCTTTTTCTTTTTTTTTTAGTAACAGCTTTATTGAGATGTAATTCACATTTTCTGTGCTGCCCTGGTCTGGAAGCTTACCGTATTCAGAGTTGCACAGTTCCCACGGTTGACTTTAGACCACCCTAGTAGGAACCACGTGTCTCTTAGTGGTCACCCTCCATTTCTCCGCAATGCTCTCCAGGCCCAGGCATCGTGAATCTGCGTTGGGCCTCTGATTTGCCCTCATTTTCACCTTCTCTGTCAATCTACGGTGCAGCCTTCGCTCTGGTCCTCACCCCAGAAACACCTCTCACAGCACAGGTCTGGATTCCAGCTGTGCTGATGCTCCCCTGAAGCCCTCTGCATCCTTACCCCAGATGGCAGCCTCTTCTTGGCTGGTCCATGCCCCAGCCTGGCCTTCTGCTACCTTCCCCAGCTCCAGGCTCCTGCGGCACCTTTTCTCCTAACCCCCTCACCACTCGTCAGTCTTCATGCTGGTGTACACTGCCTCATGTTTCCCACACCTCCATGCACTTTTCACACCTCCTCACACCTCCACACTTCACCTCCCACATCCCACAGCTCCACACACTTTTCACACCTACTCATACCTCCGCACACCTCCACACTTCACACCTCCTCACACCTCCCACAGCTCCACACACTTTTCACACCTGCTCACACCTCATACCTCCACACTTCACACCTCCTCACACCTCCCACAGCTCCACACACTTTTCACACCTGCTCATACCTCCTCACACCTCCACACTTCACACCTTCTCACATCTCCCACAGCTCCACACACTTTTCACACCTGCTCACACCTCCTCACACCTCCACACTTCACACCTCCTCACACCTCACACAGCTCCACATACTTGTCACACCTCACACCTCCTCACATCTCCACACTTCACACCTTCTCTCATCTCACATAGCTCCACATACTTTTCACACCTCCCACCTCCCACTCACACCTCCTCATTTCTGCCACACCTTTACACACGTTTCATACCTCCTGTTATGGTGTGGCTGTGTCCCCGTCCAAATCTCAACTTGAATTGTATCTCCCAGAATTTCCACATGTTGTGGGAGGGACCCAGGAGTAGGTAATTGAATCATGGGGGCTGGTCTTTCCCATGCTATTCTTGTGATGGCGAATAAGTCTCATAAGATCTGATGGCTTTATCAGGGGTTTCCACCTTTGCTTCCTCCTCATTTTTTTCCTCTGGCCACCACCATGTGAGAAGTGCCTTTCCCCTCCCACCATGATTCTGAGGCCCCCTTCCAGCCCTGTGGAACTGTAAATCCAATTAAACCTCTTTTTCTTCCCAGTCTTGGGTATGTTTTTATCAGCAGTGTGAAAATGTACTAGTACAGTAAATTGGTACCAGGAGTAGGTATTGCTGTAAAGATAGCCAAACATGTGCAACTGACTTTGGAACTGGGTAACAGACAGAGATTGCAACCGTTGAAGGTCTCAGAAGAAGACAAGTAAGTGTGGGAAAGTTTGGAACT